CTTCCCTGTCACCCCCAGGGAGAGGGACTGGTCACCACCACTGTTCGAGGGGAAAACAGAGCTGCGGGGGCTCCCCGCTAACAAGGAGGAAGGTCTGGGGTTCCAGGCCTTCAGAGTGACCCGACTCCAGCCTTCTTTCCTCACGGCACCCACCGACCTGGACACAAATCCCAGCTCTACCTGACAACAACTTCAGCAACGAGAGCTAGCGTTTACTGAGGAAGCTGCCCTACACAGGCCCACACTCAGTGGTCTACGTGCCCAATCTCACTGAATACGCCAACGGCCCTGTGACAGAACTGCTCTTGTCCCCCAACTTGTGGCAGACCAGTAACTGGCAACCAACATCCCTCCCGCTTCTCCAATAGCCATAGGACTCCTGATATATCTGGCGCAAGGCCGCCCAGCCTCTTAGCTTTTCTTGCAGCAGTATGTGACCAGAGGACTACTTTCTGGGCCGTGGGACATGAGTAGAAATGTCATGTGCAAACATCTAGAAACTTAACAACTGGCACGAGCACTCTGGTCCCCTTTTCCTCCCTTCTTCCTCCCCCTGGATGGAATGAAGCCGTAAGGGCTACAGCTTGAGCAGCCCTCTAAGACCTTGAGACAGCACTGAGAAGAGAAGCCATGCACAGCGGGACACCAAACGGCCCCTGAGCAAACTGGCTACCTCTGGGCTCCTGTGTGGAGAAGGAGATCGACTGCTATTTTGTTTAGGCCGGTGATGTTTTAGGTTTCTGTGTTCACAGGTGAAACTGATTCTACAGGCTACATCACTTCACACACAGAAGAGGCAACCTGGCTCAGGAAGACAGTCACTCGCCCAAGGACACACTGTTAAGTGGAATTGCTAGAATTTGAACCCAGAACCCTATGACTCCAAACTCTAAGGACCTAACCATATTGGCATCCCACCTACTGGCCGTGTCACCCTGCACAAGTTGCTGCACCTCTCTGAACTTGTCTCTGCAACAGGAAGCCCAGGTGAAGAGCTAAGAGCAGTCAGAACGCCAGCTCCGCCCACTTGCTATGTGACCGCGAGTCTCTGGGCCTCAGCTTGCCCATCTGTAACATGGAGATAATAAGAGCCACCTCCTAGGCTGGGGTGAGGGTTTGAAGAAGTGGAGATGCACGTCAAGAGCTCAGCACAGTGGTTAACACATAAACGCTCAATACCATTAGCCATTATTATCAGCATCACCTTCAACAAAGGGATCAATACCAACCCCTCAGACATGCTGAAGGACTAGAAAGAATATGCCAAAGCAGCAGGCACTGGGTCATGGCAGCTACTCATTCCTGAGCACTGCTGGGGCCTCGACTATGACCAACAGACCCACGCCCTCCTCTCGTGGTCACGTTATAGTTATTCTGACACCACCATACGGGCTCTCCCGCCAGCCTAGTGGTTCCTTCGTGGGTAACAGAAGGCAAGTGGAGCTCTCAGAGATTCCTCCCCTGGGATTACAGCAGCCTCTGTCTCATGGGTGACTATGGAGAGTCAATGAAATCATGCATCTAAAGCTCTTCTCACAGAGCCTGGTGCCTGAAAGGGTCAATCAAAGGGTAACTGCTATTGTTAATACTGTTTTAGTGCATCTATTCTTTCAAATCATATTCACTGGGCCAAGTTTGAGACGCAAATGTGACCCAAATACATCCAGTCCCCAGTCTTACAAAGTTGGTTATGTGTGTTAAATTCCACAAAGGGAAAAAGACAGGAAACTATGACAGCATTTAGAGGGACACCTAACTGAGTGATAGGAATGAGAGAAGATTTCCCTAAGGACTGAGATCTGACAGATAAGCAGGAGTTAAACACGTACGGGATAGCTCACGCACACGCTCTGTGGCTGGAGAGAGCTATGTAATTCTGGGAGGTAAATTTATGCTCTTTACATTTTGTGCTAGAGAAAGTTGCCTAGGTAGTGCGGAGGCCAGATGGCTTGAGCAAAGGAATGAAGCAGGGTGGCGTGAGTCTGGAGGAGGATGAAAGCCAGATCAGCAGGGCCTGGAAGGCTGTGCTGAGGAACGTGGGGTTCCTCTCAAAGGCACTGGGGAGCCACGGAGCAGTTCTGAGCAAGGGAAAGCCAATGTCAGCTTGGTGCTTTAGAAAGACCTCCCTGGCCCCTCTGAGGGTGGGTTGGAAAGGGCAAGACCAGGGGACCAGGGGACCAGGGGACCAGGGAGGAGGATGGGGCAGCGATGCAGCAGCAAGTGGAAATGTCTCTGTCAATATCATCTAACGGAACTAATTTTGTACAAACATGCCACTCAAGCCGGGGCCTCAAGGAAAAGTTGGAGTTAAATAGGTGAAAGAAAACATTACGGGCACAATGCCCTGTGGTGGCAAAGATGCCAAAAAAAAAAAAAAAAGACACTGGAGCTGCAAGGATGAAGCTGAGTGGCCAACAGAGGCTAGACCACAAGGGCCTTTTAGGTCACAGGATGAAGTTCAGTGTCCTCTCCAAAAGCAACTGAAACATCAAAGCAACAAACAGGAGAGAGAAGTGGCCCAGTTCACTTAATGAATATTGATGGCACTCCCTGGGGGTGCCAAGGTAAACCTTCAAGAATGGCTGAGCTCTCCTAGGCACTGCGAACACAGCCATAAGCATGACGACATTCTGGAGGTGGCCAGTGTGATGTGTGGACCGCTGAGTATTGCGAAGGCCTTCCTCCTTCCTGCTAACACCAGCTGTGCTCTGAGGCTACACCAAACAACACAGTATGCGCTAACAGAATGCAGCAGGTTTTTACCAATGATTATGGTGAAGAAATGACTGAGCATTCTCCTGAAGAAACCGGGCTCTTGGCATATTTCCAAACCCAAATTTTACCAGGAGGACTGGGGCCCCACCTTCCAGGGGAGCTCCCACCCCAGATTAAAGGCTAGTTACTCACGATCTTTTCATAGTACTCCCGCCTCCGCTCTGCCCTCTTCTTGTAGTCAACCATCATGCCTCGAAGCTTCCGCTCATGCTTCCGAGCTTCGTGCCACATCGTGGAGAGGCCAAGCCTGAAGCCTCACCCTGGGGGTTGAGGACAGAGGAGTATCAGATGGGCTGTAAAAACCATACGGGCAGGAAAAAAAAAAAAATATATATGGGCAGAATCAAAGTCGCCTAACAAGCTGGTAAGAGAGCTGATCCTAAACGCCAGCTTCTGGGAGAGCAAGCGAGGCTGCAGAACTGTGCACCAGATGCTCAGGTACATCCCTGACGACTCTGGGCATTCTGAAGCCCTTTTCCTCAGGTGATTCTAGTGTGAGAATCCATCCCTGGGGAAAAAAGTGTCCTGGGTTCAAGGAGCCGGAATCAAGGATGAAAGGTTTTGGAATGGGAGGAGCAAGTGTCTGAAGTAAGGTCTGGACGCAGACCCTGAGCAGCTAAGGCCGGAGCTCAAGGGAGGGGGAGGAGCTGAAATGGCTCCCACCAGGGGCCATCCGTGAGGAAGCGGATGGGTTGCAGGGGGATTAAGGCAGGTGGAAGAGGTGAAAGATTTTATGGGAACACAGTAGTGGTCCGGAGGTGGGGGTCGAGGGCAGGTGAAGGGCGTGGATAGAAGACGACGACGCATGGGGGAGGGGGAACATGGGGAAGTGCTATAAGGACAGACCAGAGCGCGGCTGAGGTCTGTAAAGGGAATCTGAATGGGAGCGGGGGAGGGGCGAAAAGAAGGAATAGAGGCTGAGGGAGGAGGAGCTGGCAGACGGGAGGGGGTGGGTTGGCTTTAGGGGCAAAGCTCGAGGACAGGGCCAGAGCCCGAGGTCATGACTAGGCTCGAGGACCGGGTCTAAGCCTGAAGGTTAGGGCTGGTTTTTGACAAGGGGGCGGGACCTGTGGCCAGTGGCGGGGTCAGACGCCGCGAGTTGGGGCCCACGGCGGGTGCAGGGGTGCGGCCTGAGGCCCGGCAGGCCCGAGGAGGTGCGGAGTAGGCGGCCCTCAGGGCCGGGGCCGAGCAAAGGCTCACAGCAGCCCGGGGAGGTGCTGAGGCAAGGGCAAAGCTGGGCTGACGCCACCCAAAGTCCGGGAGGTCGGGGCCTGCCGCCTGCACTCACCGGCTCGTCGCCGCCTGCCTCCGCTGCGCTCGCGCGCGGCCCGCACCGGAAGCGGAAGTGGG